GGCCCAACGTAAACAAACCCGACCCAGAGGAATACGTATTATCGGCTGAAAAATGAATGATAATCACAATCAAAGGTTATTTTCGGCAAAAATATCCATTAAAGGTCGATCCGAACTCAATTTAAAAGTTGATCATAAAAATAATTCTAATACATCCAAACTCACGGCTAGAATTTTGTAGAGCTTTGTAGAACTTTGTCGAACTTTGTCGCCATCATGGTTGTTTACATTGGGCCGAACTAGGTGAGAAAAATCGTACGTGGGGGGACTGCGGCCCCTGCACGGTCCCCTAAATGGCATAAGAAAAAATGAAAGAATGGCAAGAAAGTGACTGAATGGCTCGTAAAATGGCACGAGGGACCACGACCTTCTCTAGGTAAAAGGGCAAAAGACCTGAGGAAAGATGAAAGGAAATGGCAAACTAGATAGAGACAGAATTTAACCTAACCTGGATACCCCAAGCCCCCCTCAAAATATACACAACTACTCACATGTTGTTAAGAAGAAGGCTACATGGAAGGCGGTTGCCAAGTCCGAGGGCACAGGAGGTGGAGCCCCCACGGCATAACTCACATGTCCGCGGCTCAAAAATAGTGCTTTACTAGACATAATAAAAGGCGTGGCGACGGCATAAAAACGAAAACTCAAACTCATCATCGGTAGCCAAAGGAGTATGGAAAAAACTACGAGGCGACGCGACGGCACAATACAGCCCGGAGAGAATAATTACAAACACCTGATGCTGCTCATAAGAAATGGGGAAAAGCTTCTCACTCATCAAAGTGAATCCGCGAGTAAAAACTGGCAGGCACTAAATTTTGCAAATAAGAACTATATATTTCGGCCCGGTTTAAAAACAATGTATGTGCCATTAGTTTCCCTATGCACATAAGTGTTTTTTCAGATGAGTTAGAATTTATAGCTCCAAATTACAAAATGCAGTCCAACTGAAACTACTAAAACTAATGACACGGAGAGAGGAGAAGCAAAAATGTGAACATTACCGGGGCGATGGAAACAAAGAGTAAAGCGAAATCAAAAAGGCTCTATGAGCTGAAAGCAGAAAAACCAAAATTGAGAAACCCCAGGCAAAGGTACTGCACTACTCAAAACACAGGAAAGATACTCGTGCGAAGAGATGCGTAGAACTGGTTTGCGAGGCGAGACCCAACTAGAGTCCCTTCGTACTGAGAATCAAGGCAATGTGAATCCATTTCTGATTGGTTACCATACAGGCCTCCACAGTGTCACAAACGGAAATAAAGATTACATTTTCACCAACTGCAAAGATTATAATCTGGAATGGACCGAGGAACTACGGTTTCGACTAGGAACAAACGGAATAAGAGAAGGAACGGAGAAAGGAATTTGAGAATGAGCCGATCAAAGATTACAAAAAACTTTCAATTCGTGTAATCTTTATTCCCGTTTGTGACTCCATGAGGGGGTGTTGTTTTGACTCTTAGTATAAAGAGACTCTACACCCAACCCAAAAGCTCCCGAAAAATGCATGTTTCCGGAAGATCCCGCTAGACGGGGCAGAGGTCGCGACCCTGGCCAATCAGGAATCACAACCCTTTGTTCCGTCATTTTTCCGAAAGAACGTTTGCCCAGTGCTACTCCCCCTTCCCCCCTCCACAAAGACGGCGGCGCGCACACTTTGAGTGGAGGGACTGGGGTTTGGTTACATTGGGCCAACTGAGGGCTCCATGATAGCCGACTAATCACAGAGCGGCACACTTTTTCTGTAGTAAAAGGATTGAGATGCCATAATACACTTGCATGCACAAGTACTCTATCCTGAACGGGGTTTGAATTGAAGTTGGTCGGGAAAGAGAAAGAGCTGAAATATCAAAGCAGCAAGTTGTTTTGACAAATTATCTTATTCTACAAAATAAGGTAGTGGTAGGCGTCTCTGAAAACTTACAACTTATGTAATGAAATATTTTCATTTCTAGGACTTGTTTAGCTGTAGCAACCGAAGTTGATGTGACAACGTCTCAAATCTTCTCCTTAACAACAGTAATCTATGGAGTTATTTAAAGGTAGTATCAACGAAATGTTTGCAACACTTTATTAAAAGTTAATTGCTTCAAGCCTTCGTGAAAAAGAATAACTCCCATTTTTTGAATTTCCAGTAATTTGATGACAATACATCCTGGATTTTTACTTAGAATCCTTTTAAGGAATAGCCGCAACTTTTTCAGTAACTTTCTTGATGGGGCAAACAAAATGGAAGATTCCCGGAACTGACAATCTTCAAGTTGAAATCAACAAAGAGTGTCTATAAATACAAACTAACTTTACGCCAGTCCTTGCAACATGGAGGAATGTTTTGAGATGATAAAGTTTAACCGGAGCAAATCATGGGAGAAAAAACTCGAGAGATTTGGGGCCTGAGATCTTTTCAGTACTAAAATAGAAAGTATAAACTAGAAGAAAAGGTACAAGCGGCAGTAATTTAAAATTGAACTTAATGAATCACGGAAGAATTTTACCATGGATATTGAAATATGATAAACACTAAGAGCTTATTAATTATAATTTCGCATATCGCATATTTTTCGTAGTGACTAATAATAATGATTAGACCTGGATGCAAGTAGTATGCAAAGTTATTCAAATGCATTAAGCCTTGATAGGTAATCATTATAATTACAGTCACTTAAAGATGCGTCTATAATATCCGACTTGTAGGCTCAAAAATCGGGTTTGCACTCCGCAACGTTGGATCTCCTTATTGAATAAGTATGAGCTTAAGAGGTCTTAGGAACATCTTCAAGGATGAAAAAAGAGCTAGGTAATATACTTATTACATTTTGTCATGGGAACGGAGTTCCTCATGATATTAGAATCGTTCCGTTGCTTTCGCTATGGGATTCCCTATACCTCTGCGACCTTGAGCGTTTCGCCCAGTCTCCGATTTTTGGTTGATTTTCCGATGTATCAAAAACCGTTGTATTTTTTAGCCAATCATGTCTCTACGTCAAGTTGTGTTGATTGCTAAAATTCGCTTTCAGCGAGTTTTTTTCCACCTTGAGATGTCGTGTCTGACTGGTAAATCTGCGCAGAACCACGAAGTTCCGTTTTTAGGCAAATTCTTTTTTTTGGGAGGTTCTGATTGGTTATTTTTCGCCATCAGTTTTCTGTTCGTTGTTGCAAAAGATCGCCTACCTCGTTGCTCTTGAGAAGCCGCCATTATCCCACCTCAAATTTTACAAATAGAAATAAAGAAATTATAACTATTGTGCAAGGTGGAAAACTGCTCTGGAGGACCCGTTACGGATATATGAGCCAAAATCGGAACTCGATTGATTGATTTATTCCATGAATACAGAAATATTGCCTCAGCTTACTGCCGCGATGGCAAATGCCTGCTGATATGAACCTTGAGACACATGATAGCATAGGCAAACAATGTCTCACAGAGAAAGGCGCTTAGCTCATTTCTCCAGAAGCTACGAAGACGCGAATCGCCGAATCGCTCAAGGACAACTCTTGTGATAAGTCCCGCCCATCGTCCGAGGCTTTTAAATGCTATTTTTTCTCATGCTGTCGCCGAACTGTGATAGCCTAGTTGACTGAGGCGCCCCAAATCTTTGATAAGGTGCGGGCAATAAGTGATCGGGAGTTCGATACCCGACGATGGGATTTAATTTTTAATGGTTGTATTGAATGTTTTAGACTAATCATCAAAAAATAATCAATACTAGATGATAAATGTACGAACATTTTCTCGTGAGTTAATATGTTAAACAAAAATACTGGAATATACCTCCTTCATATAATCAGCCACATGTTCCCCCAAATTAATGACGTTATTTTCTTTTTTCAATAAAGTTAATTTGCATTCAACGTTCGTAAGTTAAGCAAAAAGTACCTATTGATACAAATAGAAAGACATGAAAATAGTATGTCTAACATTTCAGTTGTTTTTTTTTTATTTACTTTTTGTTTTTTTGTTTTTTCAATAAAACAAATTGACTGGGACTAGAATCATTGTATATCTGAAGACAAAAGCTAAGTTTTTTGATACAGAAATACTAATATATTCATCCTTTATATAATCAGGGAGATGTTGACCCAAATATTGATGTATATTTTCTCTGTTCGCCCAAATTAATGATGGTATTTTCTTTTTTCAATAAAATTAATTTACATTCCACGTTCTTAAAGTAATATTTTCTCCAAAATTCAGCAAAAAATAACAATTTATACCTACGCAAAAAGTAAATAAATAATTAAATAAATAAATAAATAAATAAAGCAATGACATGAAAGTAGTATAGGTACACATCTAACATTTCAGTTACATCTATTTGAATGAAAAAAATGGCAACTTAGGAAGCACATAGGTCACTTATGATGCGTATTCGGGCATATGCGTAGAGTAGAAATATCATACTTTACGCCGAAAAAACGAAACTGAAAGTTAAATGCGTTAACTTCCGAAAACCATACCTAATCCAACGAAAATAAATAATTGGTTAATAACAGCTTTGTTGAAATTTTGGTTGGTCATTTTATTGGGCTTGATTGATAAGGGTTTTGTACGCCTGTTACGCCGGGTATTTGTAGCCTGAAGATGAGCGTAAAGCTCGAAATGCGCATCGCTTGAAAGTAAAACATCAATCTCCATCGGGAAGAAAAAGTGAGTACAAAACCCTTAATAACAGCTTTCTTGTATGCAAAGAAAAAAAATTAAACATGTTAAAAAAGAGATGTCGACACAAAATTACATAGCCCCTTCAATTCTGAAGTTACTACAAACGAACTGTACCTTAACATTTTCATATCCCAGAAGCAAAAGTTCCCATGACGAATATTGCTATCGCTAGCGATTGCAAAAACCAACTTGTTCTAACTAGATCCTTTTAAATCTATCTTCAAAAAACGTGCTTTTTTTAAAAGATGCAAAGTATAATGACAACTTCATGTCCGATAATGGAGACAAAAAGCCGACGAATTGGAGCGTAAGCAATAAAGTGGATTTTACTTACTGTATCTAATTGTTTTAAATATTGCGAGTTGCTATGATTTGCTTGGATTAGCGACCGACCATAGTTAAACACAGTAAATATTACTAAACCAAGCGAAAACATATCGCTTAGGATACTACAAGTTGAGCTAGTTTGGATTTCTGGCGCTGAAAAAAAAAAAACAAAAAAAAAAAACAAGCAGATTAAAAATCCATCTAAAAACACTAAAATTTTGTGAATGATTATAAATAGATACGTTTAACAAAATAGTAAGCGTTGGTTGTGAAACTAAGCAAACGCACATTGCGATGTTACATCTGCAAGATTTAAATTTAACCGATAAATATTATCAATCAAAAATGCTTGTAGAAAACGATTTATGCCTTAGGACTTCTGAAACCAGCTCATTAGTCTGGTATCATCGTTTTAATGTGGTCGTCGTTGGTTTCAGTAACTCGAAAGTCGGAGAGGGAAAAAATAAATATTTGCGAATCTCTTCTACTGAGAAAAAGAACGTTAATCTTAAAAGAAATAGAGAAGAATAAGTTATTAGGATTTTACAGTTTCCGCAGATAAATTAAACGCCTGCAGACTGATAATTAAAATTTGATGGACAAAGCGATAGACACATGCGACAAAGAGAAAAAAAGGAAATGGGTGATGACAAAGAGCAAAAGAGATGAGTAATTGACTAACTAGCGGCAATCCACGAGCAATCATATGGTCAATCATCCTCCCCCTCAGTCTACAACAATCACCCGTTTCAACCAATAGGATCGCTCAATTTTCCTTTCATCCTCTTTGTCTATCGCTTTGTCTATTCATTTTAATAATCAGCCCGCCGCAAATCCCTCCCTTGGCCTCTTTGATTTAACGTCCTCATAATCTTCTCTCATAAATAAAATGAACGGAGGAGAAAACGCATTATGTATGTGTTCTGCTGTGCCCGGGAGTTTCCAAGCATCCTTCATTAAAATGTTTATTTTTGAGGAAATTTATGAATATTTCTCCTTGAAATTTTCAGGAACTGAAGGTGAAATTGCGAACCAAATTATCTGAAAAATTGGAAGAAAAATATTCATAAGTTTACCGGGGAAGTAGTGTTTTATCGAAGGAAATTTGGCAACGCCTGAAGGTTCATACGGCGTTCTTTCTTAGCACGGCAGTGTTCATAAATTACGTAACGCTCTGGGGAGCGAGGAAGGTCGAGGTGAGGGTTACGACACTTTCTTTTCACGTGTTAAAATAACGGACTATACGTTACAAAAGCGTTTCAAGGGTGGGAGAGGAGTCAAAAATGCCGCAAAAATACGTCACGTAAATTATGGACGCTCCCAAAAAAGGAAACGCTTAATTCCAGACCCTGTGTACGATCTTGACTGTATAGTGTATATTGCTCACGTATGTATCTATGGTTACGCACCATCACTTGTCTCCTTGTCCTTCTCACGCATATATATACACGCTCCTCTGATCCAGCTCGATTTGTCATTATTTTCCTCCCTTTTCCCTAAAGTTACAGCTACACTACATAGTCGAAATCGTACACCCTGTTTAGGTTTTTCAAAGTGCTAACATAAACCCATACCAGAGCAGATGAATCTCATTCATACTCATGGTGCCATAGGACGTTCACAGGCGTAATGAGAGGGTATTTGCACGGCTAAATTTATCTCCCACGTCAAGGATCAACGTCGTATGAGCCCTCAGATGTGGTCAAATTTCCTTCAATAATATACGATTTACATGAATTTCCTTTTCATATTTCAGAGAACGTCTTTCATAATTTGACCTAACATATCTCCCAATTTCAAGAGGAACTATTCATGACTTCCTTCAAAACTGAATATTTTACCTGAGGCAATTTGAGAATACTCGTAAGCTCATACGGCATTTTCAATTTTCACAGCAAAGATGGGGTGTTATTAGAACAAAGTTCTACCTGATTGGCTCCGATGTCACCTACATCCCATAGCGAGACAATTTTTATTTTGATGCATACCCCCCTCCTATTAGTTAATTCTTTTCTTTTTCATTGCAGAATTGCACGTGTCACAATACAATTACACGCAATTTTCGCGCACGACATAGTTTTCTGCGCGTCGAAGAAATTTGAGAGTGACTTATTATTTTTGATTGATATAGATTGATCATCCATTAAAGAGTCTTTTTTAAGAATAACAGAGCTAGTATGAATTTCAAGGGGAAATTAACCAAAATTACTGAGAGGCAACATTTGGAGACAACAAAAGGCATGATTCCTCGAGTAAAAATAACTATTCCACCAAGCGGTTTTTTTTTTTTTTTTTTTTTTTTGCCTACCACGAACGTTGAAAAAGACACAGCGATGTGCGTAAACTCTTACCCCATTTCCGTGGCAATTTAGCTTGCCCTAAATATGTATTCATAAAATGGCACTATGCTTGCATCAATACAATCAAGTTCAAACCTGAGAATACAATTTCTTAAGGGTAGCGTGTCACGCTAATCATAATACAAATCCACAAACCGGTTCCTCCTCCTCTCCACTCTCCTCCCGTGCCACCCCTGCTTATTACTCTTACTTTTACCAGCGGTCTGATTGTCGGAATTGATAGACAAAGCGATGGACAAAGAAGACTTAGGGAGTGCGGACCGATCATATTCTGCCGTGCTGAGAAAAAACGCTGTATGAACATTCGAGATTTGCTAAATGTTTTCCGGTAAAATATTAAATTCTGAGGAGAGTTATGAAAAACTTCTCTTGAAATTGTCAGAAAATTTAGATATGACTCGTGATTGATGTGTAGAGCGTAACCAGAACAACTATTATGGTATGAGAATTAAAAAAGTGAGGGGGAGAGGGACTATTCGAACGATGTGATTCATGATGAAGTTTGGCCGGAAATGTTTGATTTATAAATTTATTTATCTCATATGTTGGAGGCGCAAAGCGCTTAATAGCGCCTCAATATTTTCGGAAAAATAACTCTTTAAATTCGCGAACTCTCCTTGTTCCTTCCTTTTTACATACCTGTATTACATTAAAATGTCTTAGTTTTAATATGTTTTATGACGTCCTGAAAACATGAGAAATGTGGATTCCGGATCTTAGAATTGTTTAAAGTACCATAGTATGCTGCATATTTTTACGGAGAATTCTTCCTCACAGGAGCAACAAATTATTTTGTCTAAAGGTAGGATAAAAAATCAAAATTTCAATCTAGGTAAGAATATTTGACTATTTGCCTAGGCATTTGACAGAATGCCTGATTTGACTTTTTGCCTTCGACATATAAAAACCCAGCTTAAATTGAGCCCTTATACTGCCTTACACCGCAAGAACGCAGTAAATCCATTCTAGCATTCACAATATTTTCTCTAACAAAATACTCTATTACTACGCTGCTTGATATTTTCGACTAGCGAAATGCCCGTGACTGGAGTCACGGGTCTAGAGGCCGCTAAAATATCTATAACTCCGAAAAAATGGTGGTAGAGGAGCAAGACATGCCAAAAAAAAATTATAAAATAAATAGAAAAATGAGTTGAAGGGAGTGGGTGATGGAGCTAGAAAAATGAGCTGGAGGAGGTAGAATAAATGCCGGCAAAAAAATTAGAACTAATCTAGCAATGATTTATTAAAAAAAAAAAAAAAAAAAAAAAAAAAAAAAATTTAAATAAAACATCAGCTGATAGCAAACAAAGGTTACCAGGGAAACCAAGGAATGGAACTTTCATTAAAACAGCTTAGTCTCGTAAATCTAAGGATAGCTATCGTGAACGAAAGAATTGACGACATAGGTCGGGTAACTATTATAGGTGGGATTATAATTTTTTCAACATAAGTTCTTAATGGTATAACCTAATCATTTTGAATATACAGAGGACAATAGATGCCCAGTCATCTTTCAAATGAACATTTAGACGAAACAAATTGAACAATGCAGAAGGGAGTTTACTTTGAACGGCAATACATAATATCGATTTTAGGTGAAAAAGCCTCCCTCAATAAAAATCGATTGTTTAACATACATTTGCATGAAGGAATCCAAGTGTCCTCGTCTTGAAAGAGTAGGTAACAACCAGCCCCATCCAAATGAAACAATGTAAAGTGTACTGAACTAATGAAAATCAAAGAATTAGTTTGTACTAGGGGGCCCTGCCCCCTGACCGCTACGTACCCCAACCCCCGGGAGGGCGCCTCGCGCCCTCAGGCCCGCTTCGCGGGCCCTATACGCGTATGTATAGGCAAAAATGTTCTTCCATTTTAATACACCATTTTGTGTTCGAGCTGCATCGATTTTAAAATTTTTGACGTAACACTCAGATTTGTAAATTATGAGGAATAGCTGGATGTACAAAATTTCACAGTCCACTTACTGCAAAAATCTCCATTTACTATGTTATTTTTAAATACTTAATTTTAAAAAAAAATCGGATTTCGACCGTTAAGAGTTAAAAGCGTTCGTAAAATTATTTGAAATTTTTGAGAGAATCAGTGTGTATCCTTTAAAATATTTTGAAATATAAATCAATATAATTGATAATATATTGAAATATTTATGACTGTCTTCAAATTATCACCGTAAAAAAACCAAGATTAACTAACTTAAAAGCTACGATTTAGAATCTGGGAATCCGGTTTTAAAATCGCTGCGACACTTAGACGACGCGTCATTATTTATGACTTTCTTCTAATTTCCGACGTAAAAAAATACAAGAATTACTATTTTAATAGCTACGATTTAGAATCTGGGACCGCGGTTTTTTTTTGTAAAAAGCACATAAAGGAAAATAGGACTTAAAATAAAGTCGCAACGAACTTTCCCGTGATTTCAATTGAAATCGTTCGTAAAATATAGTAAATATTTCAGAGAATCAGCGCGTATCTTTTGAAAAATATCGAATCAAAGTGAAGCATTAACCATGGTTTGCAACGTTGCAATCGAGGTAAATAAGCTCCACTTCGCGTGGAACCATCGATATTTCCATTCCTTCACGGCAGGCGTGACATACAACTATTTGACCACGGATATAAGCATGTTGCAGCTCCGCCGGATTGAAGGCGGGTCAAACTGCGAAGATGTCTTGTGCGGCCTGTCGAGCTTCGCTGCGGGCCGATTATTGAAATTTAAACCAGCCCGATAAGACATCGAATTGCGATATATTGCATGGTTAAGATAGG